TGAAAAATGTATTACAATATAAAATATAATTTATATTTCATTGTAGACAAAATATAATACGTMCCTACCTATAATATTAATATAAATAAACATTTTAGTTAGGGCCAAAAGACTGWTACGCRATCTAGCRGTGAGAACCTTCTTAAAACATATTTCTCGGGACACAATTTTGATAGTCGTGCGTATACCTCTATAATCTACCGTGATTGCCACAAAAGCTATGAATACTACTACAAAATGCACACACCTAAATATGACATTTGATTTTTAGTACAAAATATTGTACTCGTACTGTGTTCGACTTTTATGCCATGTATACAGATCAATCACAGAAATGTGTACATGTTCAAGAAATTGATTTTATGGCCTCCTAGAACTATTTTATTTGGTTACATTAAAAATATCACAATTTTTTAAACACTTTAAATATACTTATATAATTTTAATTAAAATTAAAATTTCACTGTACCTATTTTCCAACATATTTTCACCCTTGTTAAACTAAAACTATATAAAAAGCTGCTTGTTTGTTTTAAACTTCAAAAGTACACTAAATTAAGTTATGATGAGAAAAAGAAAAATATATACAAGTATTTACTTAAATTTTCTTGTTTTGTAAGCGTTAAAAAAACATACCCTACAAGAATGTTGATCACACTCATTACGTCTTGTGTTTATTCATTTTTTTTTTTTTTTTGCAGTTTGTATTCCTAAAAATGTTTATAAATTTCTATAATTCAAAATATTTAATTTTTAGATAAGCTTCAATTTTTGCCAGTTAACTGTAACATGATTTGCACCTTGATGTTTTCAAAGATTTTATAGACTAACCAGACATATATAAAATTTTAAAGAAATAAAACTATTGTACAGTTTACTGTAACTCCAATAGTGGATAATACTAGGCATTTTAACTAGCCCTAAACCTTATAATAATACCATAAAGTTAATTCATTTCTTTTTAATCAAAATCCTCCTTATTTTTTACTCTAACGTTTTAACTTAAACCTAATTCACTGAATTTATCATTTGTATATATGTTAGTTTCAACCACCATTAACTTAATAATTTCTTCATAAAAAAATAAGGAAAAACATAAATGAACTAGCTAAAGACAATGTCCCATAAGGTCAAGGTTAATCTAACTGGTAAATCATTAAGATTGAATGTTATATTATATGCTCGATTATATGTGTTGATATTACGTGGCTCATTAAAATTGTCTGTCTAATTATTACCTGCCATACCATCGTAAGAAGTATTAATATGACCATAAATATTTTGATCAAGATATTCATCTTCATCATCAACCCCATATGAGTTCAGATATATTACTATCGAATTCGTAAGTTGATRAATTTTTTGATCAACATCACTATTATATAATAAAAACAATTTTTCACTACGATTCAAGTTAGTATTATCAATTCTAACTGATGTATCAGTAGGTTAGAGTACTTGAGATATAATAAAAGGAAAAATGATGAAAATAAACGTATAATATGTATGTACTATAATTTTAATTTTATTGTGCTTAGTCTCGTGAAGTTTATAATTGGGATACAATCGGATAATTTAATCTATTAATAAGTAGTTGATAGCAATATTATTTACTTAGACATATTGTTATTGCCGTAGGGTGCCAYATGTACAAAAATTATGCATGGTGACAGTTTAAATTCATCTTGATGAAAACAAAGTGCCCTCTTCCCTAATATAATTATTATAAAATTAAAACACTCATAATTCCAATAGACCACATAATTGCGTATTGGTCTACACTCTTAACCTTCTAACAATTTTCAGTAACAAATTTATATTTGTCATATTCATAATATAAATTCTGTAAATTACCTTTAGTACATATATTACTTTCTGTAAATACTAAAGTTCCAAGCTAAACAAGCTAAGTTATAGATTAAATATTTATGCTAACCAATATATAAAAATTATCGTTTCAGCTACCATATTATTTCTAAACATGCTACTGAAAATGAAGATAAAATAAAAATCGAAATGGAAATAATTAATATCATTATAACAAATGAAATGCAGCTATGAAAATGTTGTTTAAGCTTCAGTCACAGATTTAAAACAAGCATTGCAATATTCACGTTCATGAATCAACAACAAACTAAGACATAAACAAGATGAGGTTATTGAAAAAACAACAAAGGTCACATTTCTGTCAGTATAATTTTTTTAATGATTTGAAATGACTAACTGTAAAAGTCATACATAAACCTGTAATAAATTATATTAATTTAGAGAAACAACTTAAATTTAACCCCACAGACTTATTCATTACAAATAAAGCATTTATATAATTTTTTCCTCTAATTAATAGAAGAATCAAAATTTGAATTATAATTATTGCAATAGAAAACACATAAAAGTGAATAATTTGTTATAATAGTTATAAATATATTTCTCAAATATTAATTAGTGAAAAATACAGGTGTAATATTTTCAAGTGTTTTCTTATGTTCTATCTTCAGTTCATACAGTGGTAATTATAATAAACAAAATATTAGACAGTATGATTTTTTCTCCCTTGTAACACTTTTATTCTAACTGTAAGTTTTGCTAGGTTATCGAATCTACTACTAGATATATTAAAGGAGTTAGTAATAAATCTTTATCAAATGCAACAATTGAAACCAACCTAAGTAAAATTCATTTTCAATTATCGAAATGATATTAGGGTAGGACAATTTATTAT